GGGAAAGAGAAAATTTTAAAAGTACACAGAAAAGGTTGTGGTTTATCAAGTGTATGAAAACCAATTTCAAAAAAAAAAATCCAAAAGAAAAGATTTTACAAGTACAAAATATGCATAAACTAGCAGAACGTAGATGAAAGAATTAGATTAGAGATCAATAAAATAGGGGAAAAAAACTACATAAAATCACACCACCACAAGTTGGTTATTTGAAGAGAATAACAAAACTGACAAAGCCATATCTAGAATAACTAACAAAAAGAGCAAAGACTCAAATTACTAAGACCAGAAATGAAAGAGCGGACATTACAAATAATTTCAACGGATTCAACAGAAATCAAGAAAATTAGAAGAAAATACTATGAAAATTCTATCCCTAAGTATTGGATAAACTAGAAGAAATGAATAAATTCCTAGAGAAACATTAACTACCAAGACAGAACCATGAAGAAATTAAAACCTCTACAAACAAGTAATTGGAAAGGAGATGGAATCACTAATCAAAAACAATTCAACAAAGGAAAGCCAGATATATTCACTTCAGAATTCAAGACAACATTTGAAAACCATTAAGAACAAATTTATTTAAACTAGTCCCCCAAAAAATGAAGAAAAAGGAACAGTTTCAAACTCTATGAGGCCAGAATTACTCTACTACCAATGCCAGTCAAAGACTAGACTCTACAAGAGAGCTTTCCCCGGTGGCGCAGTGGTTAAGAATCTGCCTGCCAATGCAGGGGACACGGGTTTGAGCCCTGGTCCGGGAAGATCCCACATGCTGCGGAGCAACAAAGCCTGTGCGCCACAACTACTGAGCCTGCACTCTAGAGCCCAGGAGCCACAACTACTGAAGCCCAAGTGCCACAACTACTGAAGCCCACATGGCTAGAGCCTGTGCTCTGCAACAAGAAGTCACCACAATGAGAAGCCCACGCACCGCAACAAAGAGTAGCCCCCACTTGCTGCAACTAGAGAAAGCCCGCGTGCAGCAACAAAGACCCAATGCAGCCAAAAATTAATTAATTAATTAATTTAAAAATTAACATACCAGGGACTTTCCCTGTGGTCCAGTGGTTAAGACTCTGTGCTTCCACTGCAGGGGGCACGGGTTCGATTTCTAGTCAAGGAACTAAGATCCCACATGCCTCGCAGCAGGGCCAAAAACCAAAACAAAACAAAAACCATGCCGGGACTTCCCTGGTGGTACAGTGGTTGGGAATCTGCCTGCCAATGCAGGGGACACAGGTTCAAGCCCTGGTCCAGGAAGATCCCACATGCCACGGAGCAACTGAGTCCACATGCCACAACTACTGAGCCTGCATGCCTAGAGCCCATGCTCCACAACAAAGAGAAGCCATCACAGTGAGAGGCCTACCCATGGCAACGAGGAGTAGCCCCCACTTGCCGCAACTGGAGAGAGCCCGGGCACCGCAACGAAGACCCAGCACAGCTATCTATCTATCTATCAATCAATCAATCAATAAATAAATTTAAAAAAAACCCGTATCAAAATTATCAAAATTTACACCAAGCAGTGTAGGCTGTACTACAGGGGAAGTCCGCACTACTAAATCTTTACAACAACAAAAGAGAAAGATGCACACTCTGCACTACTGTTCAAGAAAATACTAAACGCCCTATCTAGAACAGTAGGACAAAAACCAAAAACTCGAAGTTATCCATATGGGAAAAGTACAGTTTTCTTATTCTGTAGGTGACAAGGTTTTGTGCGCACAAAGCAAAAAGATTTCTTTTTCTACTTCTTCAAAAAACAACTTTAGTAAACTTGCGGCATCAAGAATCAGCACGCAAAAATCAGTTGCACTTCTATACACAATGAACAACGTCAACAGAGAATTAGAGAATAGTCCTACAGAACACTTAGGAAAAAATCAGCCAAGGAGTTGAAAGACTTGTACACTGAAAACTACTAAACGTTCTAAAAAAGGGTTCATGGAGATACAAATAAATAGAGACACACCCTGTACTCATGGATTGGAATATTCCAATTTTAATATTTTTTAATTAATTTATTTATTTTTGGCTGTGTTGGGTCTCTGTTGCTGTGCGCAGGCTTTCTCTGGTTGCGGCGAGCGGGGGCTACTCTGTTGCGGTGCGTGGGCTTCTCCTTGCGGTGGCTTCTCTCCTCGCGGAGCACAGGCTCTAGGCATGCGGGCTTCAGTAGTTGTAGCACGTGGGCTCTACAGCGCAGGCTCAGTAGTTGTGGCACACGGGCTCTAGAGTGCAGGCTCAGTAGTTGCAGCACGTGGGCTCTAGAGCGCAGGCTCAGTAGTTGTGGCACACGGGCTCTAGAGCGCAGGCTCAGTAGTTGTGGCGTACGGACTTAGTTGCTCCACAGCATGTGGGATCTTCCCAGACCAGGGCTTGGACCTGTGTCCCCTGCATTGGGAGGCAGATTCTTAACCACTGCGCCACCAGGGAAGTCCAATTTTAATATTCTTAAAATGACCAAATTACCCAAAGTGTCCTACAGATTCAATGGAATCCCTATCAAAATTTCAAGGGCAATTTTTGTAGGAATAGGAAAAATCACGCTATAATTAACAGGGAGCAGACCGCAATGAAGGGTAGCCCCCATTCAC